CCCCCTAATTCCCACCTCTTGCCTTAATTAATTCTCTCTCTTGTTTGAATTTAAATTAGGAAATTCCTTTCCTAATTAATCCCCTCATAACATAAGTAATTGGATCCTTGTTGGACCGACCAAATCAGCCGCTGGGGCTGTTGCCTCTGCTTCCACATCAATAATTCTCCCCCAAAAGTACCACCTTGTCATCACGGTGGAGGTTGAGAACTTCCTTCTGATTATCTCGAATGGTTCCCACGTGGTGTTGTGCTATGGCAGATTCTTCCACTTGATTAGCACCTTTTTTGCTTTTGCACCTTCACCACGCACACCAGCTACCTCTAGGGGTTCCAATATGACCTCCATATATTCTATCAATGTCGATGGTAGAGTTGATGGTGAGTATTCTCCGATTGCCTTCCTCAGTTGGAAGACATGAAAGACTGGGTGTAATGCTGATGTGGATGATAACCTCAATCGATAGGATACTGCTCCAATGCGCTCCAAGACCTTGTAAGGCCCAAAGTATTGTGAGGATAATTTTTCATTCTTCCTCCTTGCTAGTGTTTTCTGTCTGTAGGTCCTCTATCGTAGTTCCTCTATTTTAAGTAAACCATCTCTCCTGGCTTGAAGTTTACTTCTCTTCTGTGCTCATCAGCCTTCCTTTTCATGATCTATTGGGCTCTCAACAAATGTCCCTTGAGCTCAGATAATATCTTATCCCTCTCTTCTAAGTACCGCTCTATATTGGATACTGGTGTAGTGTTCTGCTCGTAATGCATCAAGTGAGGTGGATCTCTCCTATAGAGAATCCTAAAGGGAGTGGTCTTTGCAGTTGAATGGTATTATGTGTTGTACCAATACTCGGCCCACGCAATCCACCTTGCCCCCTTCTTCGGCGTTTCTAATGCGAAGCATCTCAAAGAAGTTTCTACGCTTCTGTTGGCCACCTATATCTGGCCATCTATTTGGAGGTGGTAGGCTATAGTTTTCTTTAGGATTGTCCCTTATAAAAGAAATAATTCTTTCTAGAAGTGGCTAAGGAACACCTTGTTCCTGTCTGACATAATAGCTTCAGGGAATCCATGCAAGCTCACCACTTATCATATGAAAATAGTAGCCATAGTAACCGTAGTATAAGGGTGCTTCAGAGGGATGAAGTGGGCATATTTGCTTAGTCGATTCACTACTACTAATATCACTGAGAACCCTTTTATTATGACAACCCTTGATGAAATCCATCGTCACCTCCTTCCATACCCTCGCTGGAAGAGCTAGGGGTTATAATAACCCTGCTGGTGTCATGGCTAAGTACTTGTGCCTTTGACATACATCACATCGAGCCACCAGTCCTCTATGTCACGGTTCATCCCCACCCAGTATAGTTCTGCAAATAATCGGCTGTAGGTTTTCTGAAGTCCGAAATGCCTTCTAACGCTTTTGCCATGAAACTCCTGTATCACCTTGTGGATGAATCCTGTTCCGTTTGGTAGAACAAATTTCCCTTGGTGTAGCAGTTGGGCTCCTCTTAGTGCGTAACCACGGTGACTAATCGGGTTCTACAATAAATTGGCCATGATCTTCAATGCTTCATTATGTACATTCTATTGTTTTAAGGCTTTCCAATCTAGGCTCATGGGTATTGACAAGAGTGTCAACAGAGGTTCCTCCACTCTCCTAAACAGGGAGTTTGCTTCCTTGTTTTCTAGGCAAGGTCGGTGCTATATCTCGAAATCATATCCTAAAAACTTGGATAACCACCGCCGATGCTCCTCTGTGACCATCCGTTGTTCCATTATATACTTTAGGCTCCTCTAATCTGTCTTGATTAGGAAGTTTTTAACCAACAAGTAGGAACTCCAGTTCTGAATGGCCAAGACAATAGTCATCAGCTCCCTCTCGTACACTGCCTTGAGTCTTGCCCTGGGTGTGAGCACCTGGCTGAAGTATGCAATAGGTCTCTGATCTTGCATGAGCACTCCTAGCCCATACCCTGATGCATTGCTAAAATCTAGAAGTGCCAGCAAAGGTACACTAGTCACCGTTGTCTTTAACTCCTAGAAGGTTTGGGTCGCCTCTTCCCTCCAATTGAAATTATCTTTTTTTTAATTGCCTTGTTAAAGGTCTTGCTATGGTATCATATCCCTTCACAAACTTTAGGTAGTAACCAATGAAACCCAAGAACCCCGGCTACTCCCTCAAGTTCTTAGGGAGAGGCTAGTCCACCATGGCTTGAATTTTATACAGGTTAGTTGACACCCCCGCTCCGGAGACCACATGCCCTAAGTACTCCACCTGTAATTGCCCAAATGTGCACTTTTTCAGTTGGAAAACAACTGATTCTCCCTCAATGTCTCCATGATAGGCTTCAAGTGCTCTCAGTGTTCTGCATCTGCCCTACTGTATATCAAATTGTCATAAAAAAATATTAGGACAAACCTTCAGAGATATGGCTGGAACACTTGGTTCATAAGTGGTTGGAAGGTGGTTGGGGCATTGGCAAGGGCAATAGACATCACCAGGAGCTCATAGTGTCCTTCATATATCCTGAATGACATCTCATGCACATCTGCTGTCTTCCTCATGATTTGATGGTATCCCGACTTCAAATCTATGTTGAAAAAGATCATAGCTCCAAATAACTTATCAAAGAGTTTTTTTTTAATAACTCATCCAAGAGTTCATCTATCACTATAGTTGGAAACTTATCTAATATTGTTTCCTTGTTTAGAGCTCTGTAATCTACACAGAACCTTCAGTTGTCATCCTTCTTCTTCACCAAAAGTATCGGGCTAAAGAAGGGACTCACACTAGGTCTGATGATCCTTGCTTCCATCATCTCCCTGATCTCTCTCTCTCATCTTTCTGGATCTGGGGGTAACACTATGGTCTGAAACTGATGGGAGAAGTCCCTTCTTTCAAGTTGATGCCATGCTCGTGCTCTCGACGTGGTGGTAACCCGACCAGTGGTTGAAATACATTCTAATATTGTTGCATAATCTACTGGAATTTTCCTTGCATCCTGTTCTTTGACCTTTTTTATGCTTTGCAACTCTACCAAATATCCCTGGCCTGCATTCTTAATTGTCCCGAGCATGATTTTTAAAGAGACCATGGTCTTGCATAAGTTGGCATCCCCTTGAAACACTACTTGTTTCCCTTCAGTTTATATCTCCATGGTCAAAGTTTTCTAGTTCACCCTCATATCTCCCAGAGTCTGTAGCCACTTTATCCCAGAATCACATTCGTACTACCTAAATCTAGGGGACTGAAGTGCTCCACCACTTAGTGTGATTGGGAGTAAATCCCACTATTGAGTTCAAGGACACCTCCGCCACATCTAGGTGTAACTACTCAGTTTTCTCCAATACAACCTCCAACTCATTCCCGCTCTCCTCTTCCCCTTCATAGACTAGTAAAACCTGAAGGGATCGATTCCTACACCTATGCCCGGGTGTGAATCTCACTCCTGAAGCATAGCCCTTTCGCTCGCCTATCCTAAATTCTACTTATGTGAGGCATTTGAAATTCTTGGTTGAAACAGTTGAATTGGCCGGTCCTATTTTAATAACCCTAGAAATTAGGACACCCAATTAGATGGTACTTGTTGATTCCCCTTGACCATTTAATTTTTTTGGACAAGTTAATGTTTTAATTATGTCACGTAATTAGCTATTGAGACATTTTTTGTTCGTGAGATGAGGCTTAGGCCTCAAAATTGAAAAATTACATATAGTGAAAATAAAAATTGAAAGTGGTTTTTTCATATAATACTCAAATAATATGTTAAAGGATGATATATTAATTTTCTATTGAACTATGAAGTAACAAATTAACATACATATGAAATAAAAAATTGTACAAAACGTAAAGTGACAAGTGATAAATTTTGTGAAATAGAATTAAAATCCAAATATTATAATTGCCAAACAGCACAAAATATAGAAATTCCATAAAAGTATCACTTAATATCAAATTCAACTCCAAATATCTTTTTTCTTGGTTTCTTACTCATCCTCGTTTAATTTTTAAAGAAAGCTAAAATAATTAACAACAACTCATAAATCATCTGCACTGTCATCATTGAGAGGGTTTTTATTTGAGTCGTCATCATAACAAATTGATTTATCCTCTACCTCATCCTGTGGAGTCTCAATCTTTTTCTTTTTCATTTATTTAAGTTATCTTTCTCTTTTATAAATATTTTTCATCAGTATGAAGATCAGAATAATGCTTAAAAATTTTATAGAAGGTGGTGTAGTGCGCAACTTTCAAGTGATTCTCGATGGCAGGGTAGTAGAGAGTAAGTTGTGGCTCGGGGGTGCATGAAGGAGTGATTTAATCGGGGTTTTAGTTTAAAATTTAGCTAAGTTTTAATTAAAATATATATAAATAGGGTGAGACGTATGCCTAACACCAGCGAGGTGAGGCATGTCTCAGCTAAGTTAAGGTACAAGTCTCATAAAAATGCTCGAGAAAAAGCTAGAGGCGTAAGCATTGTGGCATTTTTCATTGGAATTGTGCTGAGATGGGTCTCAAGGCGAGCCTCAATTGCACAAATTTAAACAATGGGATGTCATAATTGAATAATTTTGAGCTTATCGGATTCGTCTTGTCAAGACTCTTATTTTGATTATAAGCATGCAAAAATTAGTGGTAGGTTGATCTATCAAATGATCTTTAAGAAGTTTTCAATTGTATTTTTGAGTGTTTTGAGATTCATAAATTGCGCTGAGATTTGTGCTTGATTATATGAACTTGTTAGTGTTGCATCAAAAGTTAAAGTTATCATATATTATGTGATTGTTAATCATTAAATATACTTGAATTTAAAATTCAATTTATATCATGTTGCTGTCATGGGATGCACCAAATATCAACACTAGAAGTCATTGACAGTTTTAGTATTTATAACGATTCCCTATGAACTCTAATAGTTCGGTGGTTTTCTTTTGCTCTATTTACGTGAAGTAAAATGCATACTTCCTCGCTAGTGTTGATGACTCATTTTGATTCAGGAGAGAGCAGCTTTAGCTGCAGCTTCAGATCCTAATCGTTACATTGAGAAAAGAAAGCCCGTTCCTGATCCACAGGTACGTACTTTCTATAGATCACTTAAATTAATAATTCGCATTCTTCTGGTTCTGTAACATCATTCATCCAGGACACTGGCTTGATATATGGCAAGAGAACTGAAACCAAGAAACCACAGAACTGATTCATCATGAAATTTGACATAACGGGCACAACCCCTCCTAATCTTTTTTATTTCTTGTAAATTTTCAATTCCAACTTCTCTATTTTGCGTTAGCTCGTCCTGCTTATCATTTTTTTCAAGTTTGCTTTAATGCGACTTGGCTTTGAATCAGAAAAAATAAGAAGCCTTCTCCGTTTCACTCATTTAACTGCTAAAATAAATTTGTGGACATGTGCATTTGTTTTGTATATCGATGTGAAGAATGTTCATATTTTGCTAGTTCTTGGATTATACTTTATTGCTGCATACAAAGAATGCTGAAGTCAGATAATGAAAACAGATCAATGAGTTTTGGCTTTACTATTTCTTTGCTGAGATTTAAGGTTCATTTGGGACGGTTTTTTTATTGTTTTTAAAAATAGTTTTTTAATATAAAATTTTTAATTTCTGAAAAGCTATTCTAAAAAACGGTAAAAAACCCGTACCAAAAGAAGCCTTGCTACCTTCATTTGATGTTATTTTTGTATCTTAATATCGGTTGTCATTCATTTAACTTGCTCAAAGAAGCTAGGTGGTGTAGTAGAATTCTGGCTATAGAAAGTAAAAGCTCAGGGTTTGTTTGTGATAGTTTTTGCACTGTTTTGTTTTTGAAATAATAATCAGAATTTTATTTAGCTATTATTTTCTTATTATTGTATCACAGTTTTGTAGAATTATTATTGATGAAAAGTTATTTTTTATAATCAAAGTGGCTAAATTGTTTTTTCCACATTAGTTTTACTACCATTTTTATATGAAAGTTTTTTTTTTGATAAACTGCATTTTGCTTTAAAAATAAAAAGGAAGGTCCATAATACAAACTACTAAGTGATAGAATACCTATCACACTCCTTTAACGAAGAAAAAAATAGAGGAACCTTATTACAATCTACCACTTCCCAAATGAAATCTCATTCTAAAGTATAGTTAGCACAAAATTTTATTAATTTATTACAATTTTTATTAGGAAAATAAAATAAAATATTATTAAAATCTTTAAGAATTGATAAGTCTTTAATGTCATCCTATTATCATTCGTAGCCTTCTTCTTATGAGTTTCTTGTAGATACTTGATAATGTTGGAGTTATCTCCTTCAATAATTAAGCCTTTTGCATCGGACATACATTTTTGTAAAACTTTTTTTAATAAACAAAAAGCCACTAATTCCAAATATCAAATGTCCCAATGTATGAGTTTAAAGTCAAATGCCAATAGAAATCTTCCCTTATGATCTAATAATTCCTCTCGTTGCCGCCATATTAGAATTTGAAAGAGATGCATTAATGTTAACTAGTGGTGTCAATTCGGGTCAACGGGTTGGGTTCAGGTCGAAATCAAATTGACCTGGCTTTAAACGGGTCAACCTGAACCCGATCCATTTTTGTAAACGGGTAGATTTTTTCAACCCGGACACGACCAGCGCTAGTTGCCGGGTTGACACGACACGACCCGAAGCAGCAGCATCGGCCGAGCAGCGGCAGCAGTAGCACGCGTCGCAGGCGGAGCCCGGGAGCAGTGGCAGCACGTGTTGTTGCTTATGGTTCGACCGTTCGGGATGTGCTGCGCCACTGCTGAGTCAGGATGCATGCGCGCGGCACGCGTTGGCGTCGCCGCTTAGGGTTCAGGACACGCAGCGCAGCGCCTGCAGCGGAGTCGGGACTCGGGACGCACGTGCGCGGGATGGTTCGCCGCTTCGGGTTCGCACACGCGCGGGATGGTTCGCACGAGACTCGACCGTTTCGACTCTTTGGGATGCGCACCGCGCAGGCATCGACGCAACTTGACAGTTGACACTTCGGGCAGGGCGGGCAGTAGATCGGGCATAGGATTTTCGGGTCAATTTCGGGTTGCCGGGTCAACCTGAACCAGACCCGTTTTTTGAAACGGGTCATTTTGTTTAACACGAGCCCGACCCATTTCAGAAACGGGTCGACCCGAACCCGGATTTTTTTGGGTGGGGTTCGGGTCGGATTTCGGGTCGTGTTAAAAATTGACACCCCTAATGTTAACCTTAATCAAATCGGGTGGAGGAGGGTGCCAATAATTAGAATTCAATTGATGTTGGTTAACACCTTAGTGGTCTGAGAAGTGATTAAGATTAGAAAAGATAGAAACCAAAGCAATTGCATTAGAAGCAATAAAACAAGAGCCATATTCTTTTCCACCATGAATAACCAAGTTCCTACTTTTCCAACAGTAAAAGACCAAACCACAGTAGAGATAAGCAATGAAAGGATTAGATTTTGGAAAGCACCTTCAGCCCTTTTGCACAATACCCAAATATAGAAAAAGTAGTAACAAAAAATCCCCATTTGTTTACCAATTCAATGACCACAATAAGTTGGGAGCATTTAACAGTCACATGTTCTACATCTTCCCTCATGTTATAGTCTCTTGGACTATAAATTATGATCCAAGATCCTTCTATCATAAAGAAAATCTCTTGTGGAATAGCATTTTTCCAAAGTCTCCACCAAAACAGCTCTAATTGAGATGATAATTTCAAGCTTTTCGCCCAACTCCAATACTCCGTCTCCATCTTTTGTTCTGCATCCGACTCTAATGTCATAGCAGCAATGGACTTACCAGTAAACTTTCTCATGAGCTCCAACCTATCATTCACTACATCATGCGATATTATTCTCAACCAAATCCATTCTAAAGTAATTGATTAGCACCTCGTTGTTCCACTTACCTTCCTCAATGAAATAATCCAATGTAGGGAATTCGCCATCCAATACAGCAACATACGGAGGCCATTTATCAATTGGCTTATCCAACAACCAAACGTCACTTAAGGTGTTAATTGTTGAACCTGTAGCAATTTACCATCTAACTAATGAATGTAGATAAACAATACCATTACAAAGAATTTTCCAAGTGATAGAACAGATTTTGATAGAATTTCCTTGTCAAATATCATGGCCATACTTAGCATATAATGACTTGTTTAGTAGAGAATCCTTTTTGTTCAAAAAATTCCAAGCAAATTTAGCTCTGACCGATCATCAAATAGAAGCAGCTGATTTCATACACCGTCCTCCAGATGGTTTGCCAAGCTCCTTCCAAGCAATATAGTACAGTCCTTGGCTCTCTCCTTGTTTCCTCCAAATAAAATTCATACACATCTTATCAATTTCTTTTAAGATGCTTTAAGGAACTAATGAATGCGTCATAAAACACTGGAATAGACATTACAACTGATTTAATTAACACCAACTTCTCTGCCAAAGTAATAAAGTTATTTCCCTATGTATTCATATTACAAGCCACTTTCTCCACCAAAAATCGGAAATCAGAGGATATCATCCTTTCCAAGCACTTCCATAACCTTCTTCTTTTATATACATCCTTGTTGCCATAAACAGTAGAATTCAACCAACTGCCTTTATTAATTACATTCAGATTTCCCACCACACATTCGGAAGAAGATTCAATAATTGAGAATGAAGCCAGATTAGATTTCCAAAGCACCAATATTCCACCAGACAAACCTTCAGATGGAACCAAAAAATAATCCCAATTTGTCCCCATCACTTTATTAACCTCACACTTATCCATGGAGGCAATTTTAGTTTCAACAATTCCAACAAAGAATATATCTCTCTCTAATAAACTCCTTCAAAATAAAGAGAGGCTTCTCTTTTTGTTAGTCCCTCTACAATTCCAAAATGCTATTGCACTTATTTTTCCACCGTGGGGATGGACCCCCGCCTCTTTTTTTAATCACACTCTCCACCTTCTTAATCCTAGAAGAAGAATTCAACGAACCAAGGGATCTTAATTCCTTCAGGAGTTTTGGTTTGACACCTCCTAAACCACCCCTCATACCGCTAACCGATTCCACATTGCTATCCCCAACATTTTATGTTTTCTCAATTGAAAATTCCTGTATTGATTTAAACCCTTTAGTATTTTCCACTTCCCCCTCCTCCATCTTAGATCTAGCTTATTTCACGAACCCAGGTTCTTACACTCCCCCATCTTCCTCACAACAAGACTCCAATAAATTAAATTTATTTTCTTCTGCAAAAGGGACTAAAGAGGGACAGATTTTCTCCAAACCTGAAATAAAAGAAGGTTTCGATCCTCCTCCATCAAGATCTGAACGGTCCACATTTTCTTTCAGGTTGCATTCCTTAGAGACTTGATTAAGCTCCCCAATTTGTTCTTCAATAACCACAGGTAATCCCACAACAATCTCTTTTTCAATGTCAGGTTGATTGAAAGATGAAGTCTTAACTTCCACACAGTTTACATTGTTTACATTCCTCTGTATATTATTCTACAAAGGTACAAACCTCTTCTTTCTCCTTCTATCAACTAGGACCGAAGGTCCATAAGAAGGATCATTAACTTTTGCAAAAGACCCCTGTATTTCCAAGCCAATCACCTGTCTGTCAATCTTGGTAATTCCTGCCTCTCTAATATCCTTCTCCACCATGTCACAACCATTGACAAAGTGTCATACTTTTCCACATTTGAAGCAAAAGGAAGATATCTTCTCATCCTCAACTTTTTGAAAAAAGTGACCTTCCACTCCATCCACCCAAACCCTCAAAGGCAATTGTTTATCAAGTTCCACTCTAACACAAACTCTTGCAAATTCCCTCCTCCATTGAAACATGTCTCCATCAATAAGAAGAGTTTTCCCAATCAATGAAGCAATCCTAGCCACATTAATTTCATCTCAATAAAACCCAAATCGGGGATGACAATCCTTTTAGAGAATTGGTTGAGAATTTAGGATTCCATTTGTTGAGATCCACTATGTGTCCATTCACAAATCAAGGTCCTCCCGAAAGAACCTCTTCTATAGTATTAACAAAGAAGAAAGAGCATAAGACCCAACCTTATCCCAAAATCGTCAGATGAAATTTACCATACTTATTCCATTGGCGACATAGTTCTTTAGCAACCACATTGATTGGAATGTTCCTCCCAAAGACTTTCACCACCACCGAAAGCTTTAACTTTTCAGCATTACTTTCTACATTTGGTTAAAGCAATTTGACATGTGCATCATCCTCTGTTAAGAAAGATTCTTCATTTGATAAATTAACTTTGATATACGGACGTTTAATCTAGGGATTAACATATGCTTTCCGAAGCAATACATCGGCAACAGTAGGACCAATCGCAGGACCATCACTATCCATATTTTGGTCTTGGATGTTTTTACAAATATCTAACGAGCCTTCCTCCAAAACCTATGTTCCCATTACAGCAGTAGTTTTTGACACTCCATTCCCAAATCTACTTACAATAAGCTTAATGCTTGAAGATGAAGATGACTCAAAATCCTTCGGCCTGGACATAG